TTTATCCATAAACTCAATGTATTTTGGATCACTACCCAAAGGGATTTCCCCAGGGAATTCAGGAAGTTGATCTTAAAAGTTTTCATGGAGAAGCAAAGAGGCAAGAGTAAGAAAAAGTTTAATAAGGTGGGAACACATGCCCTGTCATTTTAAGGCCCATAAAGCAATAGTTAATTAAGACAATAAGGTAATTATTCAGAGCTATAAATAAGAAAAAATAAAACTGGAACAGTAGAAAGCCCAAAGTATAGAAAAACTTGATACACAAAAGAGATAACATTATAAATGAATGAAGAAAGGATGAATAATGTTGCTTGACAACTCATATTCTTCAAGAAAAATTCAGTCCATAACTTAATATATACACGAAGACTAATTCCAGGTTACTTGATGTCTGAATGACAAATATTATTAGGAAATATGAAACGTGCAAGTTTAGAGTAGGGAAATACTTCTTGAGCTACAAAAAGCACAGATCATAGGGAGAAGATCAATTTAATATTCAAGAGTATAAAATACCATACAGAGTGCAGATAGCCAGACAAGGGGGAGAGATTTGCCACCTAAATAACTGAAAAAGATTAATATTCATAATAGCCCATTGATAAACAGAATACAACCAAATGGAAAACTGGAAAGATATGAATAAGCAATTTACAGGTATAAAAATTATTTGAATAACTAATAAGCTTATGAGAGATGCTAAATTTCTGTAATGGAAATAAATAATTAGATAATCATTTCAAACTTACCAAATTGGCAACCATTAAAAACAGCCTAATAATCAGTGCTATTGGCAAAGTTATAGGAAAATGAGATCTTTCATCTGCTGTTGAAGTGTAAATTGAGTCAAACATTTGCATAGCAACTTCATAATAATGAAGTTAAACTTTTGTTCCTAGTTAACAACCACTTGAGAATCAAACACACAAAGAAATACATAAAAATCACTACCATTGTAGGTAAATGATGTGTTTGTAACTGAAAACTTTGGAACAACCTAAATGTTCATAGCAGGAGACTAGGTAATAAATTTATACATTTCAGTGCTATAAAGTACTGAAAATGGGTGAACTAGAACAGTAATTGGCAAATCTGACTTATTTGTAAATAAGTCTTTTTGAAACATGATTTTGCTCATCATTTACATATTGTGCCTGCTTTTGCACTGTGAGCAGAGGTGAATAGTTGTGACAGAAACCATACAGTCCACAAAACTTAAACCATTTACTAATTGATCTTTAATGGAAAAAAACTTGCTAATCCCTGAACTAGAGCTGTATGTATTAATGTGATTAAATTTCAAACCTAATATTGTGGAAACAGCAAATTGTAGTATCACAGATGTAGTATAGAGTTTGAAAACATGCAAAATACACTTATATATTTTTATAGATGCTAACATCTGTATACCTAATATAAAATATGCATAAGAATCCTAACCACCAAATACATGATGTAGTGGTTACCATAGTAGAGGAAGGGAGGGAAATATTAAGCAGAGAGATTATAGAGTGTCGATGGTTTCTGTAATCTCTTTCTTAAACGAATGAGCAACAAGTAAAATGTTAAGTTTTGATATCTAACTGGGTAATGGTATATGAGTGTTGAATTACTTAACTATATCTTTTATTGAGCATTTGAAATATTTGAAATCTTTTCAACATTTTATAATTTAAAAAAAATTAAGTGATTTCAGATGATACATTAATGGTAGCAGATTTTAATATGAAATGCTCTAAATATTTTTCTGGCATAGATTTTTAAAGTATTTTGTGTTAGATTGATAGAAATGGGAGATTTCATACTTGGCTTTAATTTGACCAGGAGTATTGTTTACATGTAAAATTGACAAACTGTAAGAATGACCAAAACTAACAGCATAGGCCTTTTTAGGCTTAGAATAATATCAGGAAGGCTGAGGCCTGACCTAAGACATGCAAGACCTCTGATTTAGTGTCTTTTCTGATCCGTCATTTTTAATCTCCATCAAGAAAAAGTATCTTCCAAAATGAAATATAAATGTGGTAGAGGGGACTTCAAGACAAAGATAGACAGTAAACAGTGCCTAGCCACTTTGGTTCATCTCCTCAAGCCAAGGAGTTCACATCTTCCCTCCAGACTACTGAACTGCTTAGGTTCTTCAATTGGGCCAGTGTTGCCCTTGGCTTGGCATCTGTTTTCTCCTTCCTCTTGTTTCTTTCTTCCCACATACACTCCAGCTTTAGGTTTGCTGCTACTGTTGTAGTTTAGATGCTGTCTCCTCCAGGAAGCCTTCCTAGTGATGCCTATCATTGAATGAACCCTGTAGGAGAACAGGCATTGTGAGCAGAATTGATGTGTTTTATTTTGTTCATGAAATTTGATCAATTGAACATTCAAGTGGAAATTTGATCAACTGAACATTCAAGTAGAGGTGTAGCTTATTAAGTATACTAATCTGGAAGGGGATCTAGGTTGAGATATAGATTTTATAATTCGAAGTGTTAATTAAAGCTGTAGAGTACATGAGATCAATGAGGGAGGAGAGTGTAGATCAGAAAGAGAAGAAAGAAAGCATTAAACCAATGAAGAAAACCGGCATTTAATGGAGAAGGAAAGGAAGAGAGTCTCAAGAGAAGACAACTATGAACAGTAGCCAGTGAGAGCAGAGGAAAAAAATAGAAAATCATGAACTCAGTAGAAGCCAAGCATACCCAGTAGGATGAGGACTGTAAGTGAAATAAGTCATTGGTGATCTTGACAGAAACACTTTCAGGGAATGGGGAGCAGGTTGGAAATAGTGTAGCTGTTTTTTCTGTTTTGTTTTTCAAGAAGGTTTTCTGTTAAAAGGAGGGCACAGTGAAAATGTGGGTATCCTGGAAGCTATTTAATGAAAAGGAGTCCTTCGAACGGAAGGGCAGGAAATACATCAAGCAGGGTAGTTTACAATGATGGAACTCAGTTCTTACCATTGGAATGAAGGGATTGCCTTAGCCATGAAGATGTGACAGAAAGAAATGAGGGAACAAAGGTGTGGTTATAGTAGATATGTAGTTTTGGGGCCAAGAAATTAAATAACTTTCAATTTAATGAATTTTTCTACTCATTGAAAGCAGAAGTTGTTATCTACTAAAAGATGAAGGGTAGTAAGTGTTTTTGGTAACTAGAAAGATTTAAAATAGTTGCCGTGAAGCCTTATAGAATAAAGACAGACTCTGAGGAGAGACAAGACGTTGAAGTTGGAGACAACAGAGCAGCAGCACTTTCTGCAGAGTGACATGATATGGTATCTTCTCTCAGGCTTCTTCCCTTAGGGTTAGTATAGAGAAGGTGACCTACAGTTGGTTTATCCAAGTTTGTTGTGTGCTCAGCAGATGTCACTGAAGAACTGTGGGATAGGAATGTTGAGGAAGTTGGCAGGAAATGGTGAAGAAAGAAATCATGAAGTTTTGGCACACTAACATCTCACAGCCAGATCTGGCCACTGATTGTTTGTCTTTCTTTTTGTATGTTTTATATGTTTATATATATAATATGCTTCTTGGCCCAGAAAGCATAAAAATAGTTACTATTTAGCCCTTTAGGAATAATTATCTACACTAAAATTACATTATAATAAAAATTGGATGAGGAACTGGGGTTGTAGCTCAGTGGTAGAGTACTTGCCTAGCATATGTAAGGCACTGGGTTCGATTCTCAGCACCACATAAAAATAAATAAAGGTATCTTAAAAAAATAGGATGGGACTTACAGATAGGGAATAGCTCAATGGACTTAGGTCTCAATAAGATATATTGTGAGCTACTGAGTGAAAAAGATGGGAAGGACAGGAAGTTGTAATGAGACAGGAATGTGAGATCAAGATTTTAGAGCTGGGGCAGCTGTGAGTGATGACCAGGTCTAACTTGTGGCCTGTCAGTGGGGTTGAGGGTTGAGGTCCAGGAACTAAGAACCAGTCTTGAAGAGAATAAAGTCACCCAGGATTCGAAAGAAAGGAAAGCTGATGGCACACCATTCACATTTGCCTGTTTGGGATGGAAGAGTCAATATGATAAACAACAAACAAATTCAGTTCCTAAAGTGAGGGAAAGCTGATTAGAAGGCTGATCTTACACACACACACACACACACACACACACACACACACACACACACACACATCTTCTGCTCATTGAAGACATGGGCTAGTAAGTAAAAGGCTAGTACATGATGGGCTGCATTAACAGATAGAAACATACCATGTGAAGCTTAACCAGTGAATGGGAGACAGTGAACTGGAAAACAGTCACTCAGGCTTTCAGCTGTCTTCTGGTTATTCATTGTTACTGTGGGTCAGAAAGGCAGAATTGACGTGATTTTCTAGTCTTCAGCTTCCTTCAGTGCTGTAAGGACATAATCAGAATAACTTTTCTTCTCCACTGGAGGTAATTTTTGTAGTAGAACCAGCTAGATGGCAGGGTTGTTGAAGAAGAGTTTCCTCATTAATGACCTTTAAGTCCTTTCTGGTCTGCATTCTGTGAAAATCCAAGTATGAAGCAATTTTGTCTAAAATCTAAAAAAGCCCATTTAATCCACAGATGATTTTCACCTCTAATTCCTTCCTGCTTATGACTGAGTACCGCCTCTGGTTTAGGTACTTTGTAGGGCTACAAAAATGAGTGGTGCCCTTGATATTATGCTGTTTACCCATACAGGCCTCCCCTTTAGCCATTATTTCTTATATGTGCAGCCACTCTTTTACTTTATATTTCTGCCATATTTTATCCTGATGTCAGGGTCACCAATAGAATATTATTATTCACCAGCATGAGTCTCTCATAGCATAAAATGATCAAGAAATCTAAATGAAACTTTGTTATGTCTTGGGCTTATGCAGTAACACCTCATACAAACTGAGTTCACAAGAAATATTTTTAATTGAATTGGAATCTTCCATTTCTATAGTCACAAAGCCTATACTTTTGGGAAAAACTTGATTTTAATGTGTTGTTTTGTGTGTGTGCTTGTTTTTTGAGTAGTTGATGGATTTACAGCTGAGTGACAGTAACTTTCGACGACATATCCTGTTGCAGTATCTCATTTTATTCCAGTATCTCAAGGGACAGGTCAAATTCAAAAGGTAAGTTTATAAGGGTAGTAAAGGATTTATAAAAAAGCAGCTTAGAAAAGAACCTGCTTATAGTATTTTTCATATGTGTTGTGCCCTATGCGTGAAGGCTATATCCCTTAAACATGTCTGTTGCAGCAGATATACAACCAATTGGGAGCTTTTATATGTAGGATATTCTTTTGAAGAATAGGTACTAAATATATCTGCTGTTTATGTAGTCTCTTGTACCAAGTTTCATGCCTTCCCAGGAGGTTTTAGAAGGTAGAGGTCTCTCTCTAGACTTCCAAGTCTCCCTCTCTCTCAGAACTCAGAACTCGTCCCAAGCTAATTTGCAATCTAAGCCAGGAAGACCTCTCTCACATTAGACCTGAAAGAAACAAAGTCTTGAAGCAAAGAGGAGTTCCAATTTCTTTGGGGTTTCACAAAGCCTCATAAGGATTTCTCCTGTCTAAAGCCCTTCATTCAGGGCAGACTATTTCCTCTTGTTCTGTTTGTAACTGAAGTGGAACCCACTTGTTAAATATACAAAGCAGTGTGGTATTCATTGCATAAAAGACGTGACATCACTTGTTAGCTTCAGTGCAGCACTTTCAGAATTTAAGGTCACACATAGTAGATACTCAAAAATATTATTTCTTACCCTTCTATTTTGGAGGTTTGATATTATATAGAAAGATCAAGGGTTTGGGGTCAGGTCTAGGTTTTAATTCAAGCTTTTGTGCAAGCACTCAATCAATATTACTTAGATGACTATAGAGCACCTAGTGTACAGTAAGAGCTCAGTAAATGGCAGTTGTTAACAATTTGTGTTTGCCTGAAATCTTTTATAAGGTTTTCTGTCTTTTATTCATTTAAATTTTGAGTGAATTTGAAATGGCATGCCTACATGAATGTCCGTCATATGTAGGATTACGTTATATTGCCTCAGGTTTTCTAATCCGATCTGTTAATGTTATTCTTTCTTATATACCTTCATGTCTTCAATTCTATTCCTCTTGAGGCTGAAGTGTAAGAATTTTCTCTTATGTCACTTCTTATTTTTATAATTTTTGACACTGTTTACAATATGATTAAATGAGTACATACCATGTTTTTTTTCAAGACCATAAACAAGACTAAAATTGGATATATACTTTGCTATATAACTCAAGCATGCTTTTATTGTTTTGTTCCCTAGTTCAAACTATGTTTTAACTGATGAGCAATCACTCTGGATTGAAGATACTACAAAATCAGTCTATCAAGTAAGTCCAACACGCAAAAAACTCATGATTGAAAAAAATGGAAATTTAGAATTTTCTTTGTTTCAGCCCCAAATAGGAAAATAAGGATAAAGTTAAGCTCAGGTACAAGACCACAAACACTTCTTGGTTCTCTGCCTACAAACCACTTCTCTGATGCAGAAAGTTGTTGAAAGCTTAGTATATTCTTTCTAATCACAGCTACTATCTGAAAACCCCCCCGATGGAGAAAGATTTTCAAAGATGGTAGAGGTATGTGTTTTATATTTATATTGGATTTTTTTGCGCCAAATATGATTTCAAATGATTCTATTACATAAATATAATTTCCTTGTTTTTCCCAGCATATTTTAAACACTGAAGAAAATTGGAACTCATGGAAAAATGAAGGCTGTCCAAGTTTTGTGAAAGAAAGGTAAATATATATATATATATATACACACACACACACACACACACACACACACACTCAAGAATTATGAGAAAGGCATTTGAAAGAATTGTAGTATATCATGTAGGGTAGGTATATATATATTTCATATAAAAATATAAGTTAAACTCTATAGATAGAATACAGTCTGTTTTGCTTTATTTCTTAAATTCTCAGAACAAATTGATCTTCATTAAATATGAAAAAATGCCATATGTATCTCCTTCTTGTAATTTGTCCTGTTGCATGGCATTTTTGTTGTGTCTGATGAATGTGTTCTATCATAACACAAATTTTCATTTTGTTTAGAAGAAAAACGACTTAATTTTCTTGTTGTTTGTGTGTGTGTGTGTGTGTGTGTTGCTTGCAATTGAACACAGGGCCTTGTGCATACTAGGCAAGCACTCTACTCCTGAGGCAAACTCCCAGTTTTAAATTTCCTTTTATGTTAGAGTTCCACTTCTACCATCTAATTGTAATTCAAAAAATAGTGTATGTTTTCTTCATCGCAGAACAACAGATACCAAGCCCATGAGAGTGGTACGGAAAAGAACAGCCCCAGAGGACTTTCTAGGGAAAGGACCCAATAAGAAAATTCTGATGGGAAAGTAGGTTAATTTGTTTTCACATATGGAGTATTCTTTTTTATTTTTTATTTTTATTAATTTGTGTGTGTGTGTGTGTGTGTGTGTGTGTGTGTGTGTGTGTGTGTGTGTGTGTTGCGGGGTATCAAAGCGAGGGCCTTGTGCATGTGAGGCAAGCACTCTACCAACTGAGCTATATCCCCAGCCCATGGAGTATTCTTAATTATTTTTATATTTTGAAAATATTATCACAAGAACTTTCCAATTTGTTGCATCCAAATATAATATGAATGTAGTCATGTAGATGACTAAAGCAAACCAGACCCTGTCATTCTGTAGAATAACCATTATGTGTGTGTTCACATACTAGCTAAGCCTTTATTTTGTCTCCATCTTCCAAACTTCTTGGCTCTAGACCATGCCATTATTTCCCTGTCACAGAAAATAGAATTGTTTGGATGAATGCAGCTCATTTCTAGTTGTTGCAAAAAACCTTAATACTTGAGTTCTCTTATCTTCCAGTTAACTAGTCATTGCTTTTCATTGTGCTTGAATATTTTCAGGAAAAAATGATTATATGATTATCATTAAATATGTTAAATCCATACTTAAAATTTATTAAATACCTAAAATTTATGGAGGAGAAACTCATACTCTCACCCAAATATGCACTGTGTACATTGTGTTGTTTTTATGATTAGTTTTAACACATATGAGGATGGTATCCATAAAAAATTATGTTTGTTTTGTAGTGAGGAGTTAACAAGGCTTTGGAATCTCTGTCCTGATAACATGGAAGCCTGTAAGTCAGAGACAAGGTAAGTTTAAAATTTTCAAATGTTACTTTTTTGAAACATTGAGTAGAACGAAGCCTTTTCTTAACTATGATTAGAGCTCAGTAGAAATTTAAGTTTGTTTTGTGGTTGACTTTTAATATAACAGAATGTGGCTTCCTGCTATAAAACACCTAAAAATGCTGATAAAATAATTTTAGGAATCACAAAATAAATATGACAGAAGAAATTGAAGCAAAAACGAGGGGTTAAGCAACTCATTGAGACCCTGTCTCTAAATAAAATACAAAATAGGACTGGGGATGTGGCTTAGTGGTCAAGTGCCCCTGAGTTCAACCTCCAGTACCACAAAAAAAAAAAAAAAAAGGAGGACTGGGCATGTTGCTCAATGGTAGAGTGCCTCCAGGTTCAATCCCCAGTACCACAAACATACAAAAAAAGGTGGAACTAATATACTCGATTTAAAGGTAATATGTAAGACAGGAAGGAAAAATCAGAATTAAAGAATGTTACAGATCAAAATAAGAAATAATGAATAACTAAAAACCAGAAGAGTAACGAAACCTATAAATTGATGTGGTAACATTGAGCTGGGGAGCAGTGCAGTAATTTCCAGTTCAGGAAAACAGGGAACTTGGGTCATCACAACAGATTAAGAAGATGAGGCCTTAGGCCTGCACAAATTCGTAAGCAAGTGTTCTTGGAGTAAAGCTGAGAATGTGGAAGCTTATGTCATCTGGAAATGAAGAGTGGAGTAAAGGGAAAAACATGCTTATTGGCACAGGAAACTGAAGTTTGTCTTTTTCTGATGGGGTGTGAATGAAAAGGAAAGGTATTCTCTGAGAAATAAAAATGACAAGCCTGCTGTCATGTAGTCTTATACAACAACAGCATAAAGGAATATCCCTAAGCTTAGACATTGAGCTATGTAAACTCTATCTGGAAGTCGTCATGCAAACAGAAAAACCAAGCCACACAAGATTTCCCATGGATAGAAGTCTAAAGGTAAGTTCACCATCCAAATTTATAAACTTTGAAGGAAGCAATTCACCATGAGGAAGAATAGACACATAGAAAAAGCAAACGTGTATTAGCCACTTCTGATTTTTTTTTAAAAAATCAAGAACAGATAAAAACTGTAAAATAAATATATTTCAGATAATTAAGGACAGAAAATGGGAAGTTGAAACAAAAGGAAGGATCATGACACTATAAAAAAAGACCAGGCAAATTTGAAAAAGCAAGGAGTACTTAACAGAAGTAAGAAAATACGAGTTAAGAACTGACTGAGTAGGTCCAACAAACATCTAATGACAGAAAAGAGAATGGGAAAGCAGTATTAATCCAGATAATGACTGAGAATAGGCATAAATACTTAGTTCAAGAGGGAAAGGCCTTAAGCAAGATAAACTGAATAAATCCCTGTCTCAATGCATGAAAATAAAGTAATCAGAAAAAAAAAAAAAGACAACCTGTAAAAGAACAAACTTAAGCTAACCTCTGGCTTCAAGAACACAAGATAATTAAAAGACAGTGGGATGAGAGAATTCTATAACAAGCTAAACAATTGTGTACAGTTGAGTGATTGAAAAATAGTTATTTTCAGAATATTATCATTGTTCCTACTAAAAAAATCTATCATAGAACCAGGCAGATGATTCACATCTGTAATCCTTGCAGCTTGGGAGGCTAAAACAGAATGATCAAAAGTTCAAAGACAATCTCAGCAGCTTAGTGAGACAGAGTCTTTAAAAGGGCTGAGCATGTGGCTCAGTGATTAAGTGTCTCTGGGTTCAATCCCTGGTGCCCAAAAAAAGCTATCAGAGCAAATACATTGAGGATTTAAGAAGATAATTAACAGACTTGGTCTTACCAGAGATTAGAATTAAACATGAATAACAAAATGTAATAAAAGTTTCTAGAAATTTTTTAAAACACTTCCAAATAGCCCCTGAATCAAAGAAGAAATGAGCCATGTGAAAAAGTTCACAGCTTTTTCCCACCTGCTCATGAGGCTGAGGCAGGAGGATAGCTTGAGGCCAGCCAACAACATAGTGAGACCTTGTCTCCAAGGGAAAGGAAGGGAGACTTATAATGAAAATTTGAAAACATAACTAAATGATAATGAAAATACTGTATTTTCAGACTTTAGATCTAACTTAATAAAACACAAGAGGAAATTTAGAGCCTTAAATCGTGTTTTTTGTTTTTGTTTTTTGGTCCAGGGATCTAACCCAAGGGTGCATAACCACTGAGCCACATCCACAGCACTTTTTATATTTTAGAGACAGGGTCTCGCTGAGTTGCTTAGGGTTTCACTAAGTTGCTGAAGATGGTTTTGAACTCATGATCCTCCTGCCTTAGCCTCCCAGGCTGCAGTGATTACAGGCATACTCCACTGCACCTGGCATGTTCATGGTTTTTAAAAAGAACCTGAAAACTAACTGAGCTAAGCAAAAATCCAGCACTAGAACAGTAAATCCAAAGTAGAAAGTAAAATGATTAGAAATTAGTAAGATAGCAAATAGAAGATCAACAAAACCAAAAGATATTTTTGAGGGAAATATAAACTTCTAGCAAGATTAATGAATAAAATTAGATTCCTGCCAAATCTATGAGAATAAGTCAACCCATTAGAAGTAGTAAAGGAATACTGTGGGAAATAGCAACTTTAATAAATCTCTGAAAAGATTCCCAACTTCACTAGTAACTGGAAGTACACTCACTAGCAATTTCATAGCCAAGAGATTCAATAACTTTAAATACTAAAATTTTCTAAAAATCATAAATGAAAGTAATTTATCATTTCTGCTGTTTGGAGTCTAAATGGTAAAGCCACTTGGAAAGACAACTAGCAATATTTGAAAGTTAAAGTGTACACCCTAAGATGTAGTTCTTCCAGTGCTAGCTAGGTATATGAACAGTGTTTTTTACTTCACATTGAGAATCATTGGTTACTTGTGAAGTCAATTTACTGATTTCCACCTTTTTTTTTTTAATGAAAGAGAAAACATTCTTTTACATTAGCTTTATTCATATATGATACGCATACTTGTGTATACTATATGTATATTGGGTGATGACATAAAATAAATTTCCTACTGTAGATTGCAGTAGAAGTTTGAAAGCCTTGGTGCCTGAAGAAAACTAAGTTTATCTACATGTGGAGACATGTACAAGAATGTTTGCATAGAATTGTTGAGAAAGTAAGAAAACCAGCAGAATACCTATCAGTAGGTCCAGGGTAACTTGTGGCGTGTTCATAAAGTGGAATACTATATACCTAGTAACAAAATTGATGAATGAGACCTGCCTTGACTCGGTCATACTTCATACTTTAGAAAAATCAAGGTGTTTAAGAACACAAGCAGGGTTCCATCACTTGAAAATTTGAGAAGACTCAAAATATATATTTGAGTTTTTCCGTTTTATTTTAAAGCACACCAAATTCTGAATAATGGCTACCTCTGGGGTGAAGGAATGAAATTATGGAGGAAGCACAGGAAGCCTCAGTTGTATTTGTAGAATTTTAAAAATCTGAAGCAAATATGGCAAAAGCCTGGGTTTTACATACAGACATGTTTGTTACATTAGTCTTGACTGTTTGAAGTATATAATTTGAAAACTAGCACACGGTTTCAAAATATTTGTGTGAATGATACTCGGCTCTGGTTGAGTACTATTGTGGATCTTCCATTTTGTCTTGTGTTTCATGTAAAAGAAAAGTGATGATACATGTCAGCTTAGGAACCAACTTCGTCACCAAGACTCCTAAAGCACAAGTAGTAAAATCAAGAATCAATAAATGGGATGGTATCAAATAAAAAACTTCTTCACAGTCAAGGAAACAATAGCCTGAAGAGAGAGCCTACAGAATGGGGGAAAGTCTTTGCTACCTGCACCTCAAATAGAGCATTAATCTCCAAAATATATAAAGAACTCAAAAAACATAACACACACACACAAAAAAAAAGAAAAACAGATAATCAATCAATGGACTAAGGAACTGAACCGATACTTCACAGAATTATGATGATCAATAAATATATGAAGAAATGTTCAACATCTCTAGCTAATAGAGAAATGCAAATTAAAACTATTTACTGAAATTCCATCTCACTCCAGACAGAATGGCAATTATCAAGAATACAAGTAACAAAAAATGTTTCTGAGGATGTGGGGAAAAGGGTACACTCATACATTGCTAGTGGGACTGCAGATTGGTGCAACCACCCTGGAAAGCAGTATAGGGATACCTTAGAAAACTTAGAATGGAAACACTATTTGACCCAGTTATCCCACTCCTCGGTATATACCCAAAGGACTTAAAATCAGCATACTACAGTGATACAACCACATCAATGTTTATAGCAGCTTAATTAATAATAGCTAAATTATGGAACCAACCTAGGTGCCCTTCCAACAGATGGATGGATAAAGAAAATGTAGTATATATACACTGTGGAACATTACTCAGCCATAAAAAAAGAATGACTTTATGACTTTTGCTGGTAAATAGATGGCCAAATATTCTTTCTGATATGCAGATGCTAACACACAATAAGGGGGAGCAGTAAAGAATAGAAGTTCATTAGATTAATTAGTCAAAGGGGAATGAAAGGAAGGAAGGGGAAATGGGAATAGGAAAGACAGTAGAATGAATTGGACATAACTTTCCTAAGTTCATATATGAATATGTGACCAGTGAGACTCCACATCATGTACAACCACAAGAATATGTTCCTAAGTAAGTTATACTCCATGTATGTATGATACGTCAAAATACACTGTACTGTCATGTATATCTAAAAAGAACAAATGTTTAAAAAGTAAGGGTAAACCCCCAAGAAACTTTATAGACCTGTGATGTTTGTTGATTAGGAAGCATGTCATTGTAATGAAACATTAGCCATAAGTTCTGATGCCTGAGCTTTCTTTAACAAGCCCTATTTTTAGTTTTAATCAACAATGTAGAACATTTGCTGTGATCTTAAGATTTCTTTGCTTGACTCTATCAAAATGTTATTTCTAGGGGCTGGGATTGTGGCTCAGAAGGAGAGCGCTCGCCTCGCATGTGTGAGGCACTGGGTTTGATCCTCAGCCCCACATAAAAAATAAAATAAAGATATTGTGTCCACCTATTACTAAAAAATAAATATTTTTTAAAAAATGTTATTTCTAAAAACAAACTCAAGAAAGGTAATTAAAAATCACCATTTCACCAAGGTAACTTTTGAAATAAGAGCTCAAACTCTTGAAATTTTTAAAGGATAAATTATCAGTGAATGAGCACGTGATAGGAAAATATGGTATTTGCTGGCAAAATCTAAATGCTACCCTGTCCACCCTCAGAATAGCAGCATATTAATGTTAATGTATAATATATTCTATGTTTTATCATTTATAATACATAGTAATATGAAATATTGTATAGACCATCCCTTTATTGTCCCCTCTGAGAGTTAAATTTTGAGTCTTTTTTACCTCCTTAAAAATTTGAGTCCTGGGGCTGGCGTTGTGGCTCAGTGGTAGAGCCCTTGCCTAGCATGTGTGATGCCCTGGGTTCGATCCTTAGCACCACATAAAAATAAATAAATATATAAATATATAAAGATTTAAAAAAAAAAATCATTCAGCAGCATTGTTTTAAAAAAAAATCGGGAGTCCCTAAATTTCAGTTCCTAACTATAACATATTCTTTTAGAATCTTTTATTGCCACCATTTTATTAGTATTATTAATGCATGGTCCTCACTAGTTACATTGTAATGCCCAGGGAATACATGCCAACTTTGGAGGAGTTCTTTGAAGAAGCCATTGAACAAGCAGACCCTGAAAATATGGTTGAAAATGAATATAAGTAAGTAATGATTCTCATCAGCTAATTTTAATTTCCTATAAAATTTTTTCTTAGAAGTTTTATTAATCTATAGAGTAATACTTTCTCTGTTAGGTGAATTAATGTGCCAGTTTCACATGACTACTCATCCTTATTTTCAGGATTGTTCTGTGGGGGGTCCTGGGGATTGAACCCAGAGCCTCACAGGCAAATGCTCTACCACTGGGCTGTACCTCCAGCCAAGGATTATTCCTGTTGACCATCAAACATGATTTGGAACCACCCTTGTTACAAAATATTAGAAATCTAGCCCAATCCCATGTGTCCCTCCAGCTGCCATCTCTGTTCCAGCAGCTGACGTAATTCTTGCCTTCACTGCCTCACCGCCTGTTCTCTGGTCACTCCAACAGGGCTGTCTTCCCAGTCACACCACTGAAATACTCCCATCAGGGTCACCTCTTCTCTGTTTGCTCTCTCAGCAGCAGTTGCCATTTGAACTGCCTCAGCTGTTTCTGTCTTGGGGCATCCAGGAAACCAGTCTGCTACTTTTATCTCACTGCCCCTCCACCTCAGTCTCCATTGCTAGCTCTTTTTCCATTGGAATAACTTTGGGTCCACATAGTCTCAGTGTTGTAGAGTTGTGACTTAAGGGCCAGGGCCCTCTTGTCAGAATGTGTAGGTTCCCATCCCCTCTGTCCCTGGCTGCTTAGGCAACTCGAGGTAAATTTAATAACCTTTATCCTCCTTTCAGTTAAGTAGTAATAGTCCTCATATCACAGGTTTATTCTTAGGATTATATTTTCACTTTGAACCATGTATGGCATGTACTTAGCACTCAAAATTCATAACTGCTGTGACCTTGTGATAATTTTTTAGTTACTATGACCACTTAACTGGTTTGTAGTGAGTTCTCCATGCATCAGTGATCTTTCAAATAAATTCACCACTTCAATCTCATGTTTAAGATCTTATCCATACTCCTTTCCTGGCCTTTAGGCCTCCTTGATCTGCCTCATACCTGCCTCTCCAACTGTATCTTTGTTCCTTTTTTCCTCAGCTTTTAACCACACCAGCCCTGTTTCTTCTTCACCTCTAAGGTCTTTCCCTTTGGACTTTGCATATACCTACCATCTTGTTTGCGGGAACCTCTTTTCCTCAACAGCAGCTCACAGAGGTACACCTCCTTAACAGTATCCCTGTTGGCATTCCCATGTTAAGTTCACAGCACTTAAACCAATCTCCAAAATTCTCCTTCTCCTCTTTGTTTCCCATCCTCACCTCTATCTAAAATTGTCCTATACCTTTTGTGTTTATGAATGATATGCTTGCCAACAAATCCCACATTTCTGTGTGCAGGTGCTAAGTAACTGCCTAAGGCTCTGAAGGTAAATTTTTTTATTGAAGTTCTCAGTTAGTGAAAGGCAGAACCAAGGAAGTCATTCTGGTATCCAGGTCCTGCTCTTCTCTACAGTGTTATTCTGCCCAAGTGCTCAGGATACACATGAATGACCTGTCTCCACAGCTCCTGAGTACCTGGCTCAATAAGGATTTGTTGATTAAAAGAATATTAATTTAAGGGCTGAGGTTGTGGCTCAGAGGTAGAGCGCTTGCCTAGCATGTGTGAGGCACTGGGTTTGATTCTTAGCACCACATATAAATTAATAAATAAAGGTCTATCAATAACTAAAAATTTTTTTTAAAAAAGAATATCTATTTATATAGGATGAAGCATATTCATTCTTAAAGTGGCAGGTAGTTCTCTAGGATTGACTTAAGAACTTGAATGGTTAGATTGTGGAGAAAAAAATGAAACTTTTGTGTATAATTCACAAGGAATTTTGAAAGTACTTAAAAGAATCAAATGGCTTAACAGGAGTGTCAGAGAAAGGCAAAGCATAATTGGTGTTAACCTGGGAAGAGTGCACCATCTAGGGGTAGTTTTGCTAGTCTTCAGTGATATAACAGCCCAAAGGTTCATTCATAAAAGATGACCAAATAACCAGATTGCTAATCTGTGAAGTTAGGAGATGGGGGAGGGAAGACTTCCAAAAACTCAAAGGGAATTTGTGCTTTTGATTTTTCAGTAGCTTTGCCCATTTCTAGAGCATTTACTTTAGAATTTCTTAGAGGTTTCTGTTTCTTACCTCATTATGAACCACTTCTTGCTGTTTCATTGGGAAGCGGTTCGTGATTTTTGTGTCATTACTTATTTTGTTAGCTTCTGGTTATTTCTCTTTTTTAGTATTTTGAGCCATTTTTATTTATTGAGGTGGGCAATATGTGAATTAGAAGTTTAGTTGTTATATAAATTTAAAAAAACAAATCCAGCTCGAGTATCCTTTATCTAAAACATTTGAGACCTTCTAGTAGTGCTTCAGGTTTCAGAGTTTTTCAAAATTGGAATACACTTTACCAGTTTAATCTTTTGAGGCACTTGAAAAGTTTCAGATTTGGGGTGTTTCAACCTGTATTAGCTAAATTAACATCAAAACTCAGTGTTGATTTTAGAAAATATTCTAAACTTGCATCTGTAGGTGACTTTGCAAGTATGGATATTACCTCAATTGAACAGGCACCTATTATAAATTTACTTTTTTTCCAAATAACTTAGGGATAATTCCTGTCCTGTCCAACCCATAACCTAGCCAGGATTGGGTACCCAACAAGTCACTCATAGACTTCTTTTAAAAAAGTAAAATGCATGTAAACTTTGAAAATGTGTTTGCTGCCCATGAGCCTGCCTCTCCAGATTGTTAGTTTGTTATTTATATGTGTAATGTATATTAAGAGGTCCTTTAGAATGAAAAGAATGATACTTTGAGCATTACTTAAAAGTTAAGTAGAAGGGAATACAGAAATAAAAACTATAAATTATAGAAATGACATCTGTTTTTATAGAGCTGTGAATAATTCAAATTATGGTTGGAGAGCCCTGAGACTACTAGCACGGAGAAGCCCTCACTTTTTCCAGCCAACCAATCAGCAGTTTAAAAGTTTGCCAGAATATCTTGAAAACATGGTAATAAAGCTAGCCAAGGAATTACCAGTAAGTAACATGGATCATTTTCTTTGCATACCTCTTAGTTGACATTATCTTCTTTTAAAACTGTATCTCTATTTGAGCAAAGAACTAAATTTATCATATAAAAATTTTGATCCACAAACTATTTAATTTAAATGAAATAAAAATGCATGAGTATACATGTTTACTGGAAATACATAAACTCATCATTTTCTGTGCAGCATGTAATTTAAAGCAATTTCTTAATACTTTGGGTAAACTTTATTCAGCTGTAAACTCAGATATGAATTTTTCCTGTTTTCCAGCCTATTCTCTTTTATCAAAGACAGGATCCAGGGAGTAGCAGTAGGGCACTTAGAACTTAGCCTTGCCAGGTGTGGTGGCACATGCAGCTCGAGAGACGGAGACAGGAGGATCTGAGTTCAAAGCCAGCCTCAACAATGGCAAGGCGCTGAGAGTGAGACCCTGTCTCTAAATAAAATACAAAACCGGGCTGGGGGATTACGGCTCAGTGGTCAGGTGCCCCTGAGTTCAATCCCCAATACCAAATAAATAAATAAAAACTTGGCCTATCTTTCTGATCTATTCTCTTTATATAGTTTTCTAATGGATTATTACAATAAATACAGTAATAATGATACTGTGTGCCTATAATTTAATAAAATTACTCAATGTCAAGGACAGTTGTTGCTCCACACTTACTAAACCTCAGGTATTTTCAGATCAGCTTACCATGCTTTGCACCATTTCCCTTCTTCCCACATTGAAAACTGGGGTTAGGAGATCCCTTTTCCAACTATTAGGTTTTTGCCTGAGTTCACTCCTTCTGCAGGTGAGGAATGTCCCACTGAACTTACCTGACATTCACATTTAATGCTTTCTCAGAAGGAAGGCTTTGAAGCCCAGTATTCTTAATTCTCACAACCACTTTTACCCAAAGCATCTGTACTTACTTCAGAAGTTGGCATTCTTTTAAATGTTCTTCTTTCTCATTTTTAGCCACCTTCTGAAGAAATAAAAACAGGTGAGGATGAAGATGAGGAAGATAATGATGCTTTACTGAAGGAAAATGAAAGTAAGAATTGAATTTTCTTGGCTAATTTTACAAAATTGGAAAAGATTGGGGTTCTTGGTTGAGAGGTATGTTATTTGACTTGATCTACTTCTCAACTTTTACAAAGTTAGCTCTGCTTCTGACTTTAGTAAGGAATTTAAAATATCACTTATTTTAAAATAATTTTATGCAATAAGTTTTGGAAGTGATTTTTTAAGGGACAGAAGATTCTTAACATTTTAAGGCAAAATACTTATATTTCAAGCAAAACCATACCTCTTTAAGAACTGAAGGAGAGCAGCAGTTCATTTCAAAGAAAGTCATCATAATTACAATAGAGGTAACAGCTTCAGATTTGATTATTGATCAAATGATCATGATTGTAATGGGTATTCAACCCATGGAAAAAATAAGAAAATTATCATTTTAAAGTAAAGCTTACTAAAGGTAATAACTCAGTGACCCCTGAGCTTTCCAGTTCTTTTATATATTTAGAATTGCACATATCATTGTACTTTGTACATAGTTTATATTTTCTGTGTTTTCTAGGTCCTGATGTTCGGCGAGATAAACCTGTAACAGGGGAACAAATAGAGGTATTTGCCAATAAGCTGGGTGAGCAATGGAAGATTCTGGCTCCCTACTTGGAAATGAAAGACTCAGAAATTAGGCAGATTGAGTGTGACAGTGAAGACATGAAGATGAGAGCTAAGCAGCTCCTGGTTGCCTGGCAAGATCAAGAGGGAATACATGCAACACCTGATAACCTGATTAATGCATTGAACAAGTCTGGATTAAGTGACCTTGCCGAAAGTCTAACTAATGACAATGAGACAAATAGTTAGCTTCTTTCTTCTTTTCTTTTCTTTTTTATTAAAACTGTGATAAGATTTTGTTACCAAGCAGCATTTGATAAGAGGTCCACTGGTTTTGGTAAACAATAAACATTTTTATAACAGTTGTTGTACAGTTGGCTGGTGCTCCAATATCAATAGCACACACATTGGCTCAGGGCTTGAAGTGAGGGGAAGGATGGGAAGGATGGAAGGGAGGGATGGGAAAATGGACAGAATTCTGGATCACAAACTCTTTTTTGTTAGGGTAAATATAATGAAGTGAAATTAGTTTCCTTCATGCTAGTAGTTATAAAATTTAGTTATTCTGAAATCCCAGGATGACAATTTCAAGACTCCTTATTTTCATTTATCATATTTATTTTAAAGCAGAGGATCAGCAAACAATGGTCTGCTCACTAAGCCTCATAACTGGAATTTTATTGGCGTCCAGCCATGCTCACTTCTAGTGTCTGTGGCACTTGTCACACTACAACAGCATAGTAGTTGCAACAGACAGCTTCTGGCCTGCAAAGCCTATAGTATTTACTATCTGACCTATTAGAGAAAATGCTTGCAAGCCCCCAACTTTAAAATAAATGAAGTCTAAAACTTTACTCTCTTGCCCTTACAAAAATCATTTGACCTCTTAAGTCTTTATATTATCTGAAGGATTACTGTGAGTTCAAATGAGATGTATGTGAAAGTACTAGGTAGTAATGGCTAAAGATGTTTTTACTACATCTGTTTTTACTATTCCCACATTAAGCATCTCTTGAGGGCTCCAAGATCAGGTCATCACTGTTGATTCTAAAGAAGGGCTACTGAGCGCAGACTCCTGGAAATGCTATTACTTGAGCCTCTATTAGCTATTCAAGCACAGCTCTAATAGTGAAATGGCCTCCGTGTTACAGTGGCATAGAAAATAAGGCACATTCAAGAAACAAGATAATTTTTTCCACACTCTCCCTTATGTGCAAGGCAGAATTCTAAAATAGTCTTACTAGTTAAAACAAATCAACATTGGTATGAATTCAATTCCTACTTAAAGAATACTTTTGGAATAATGCTTTTTTAGATCAAATAAAATGCAATCAAGCTTTTTATAATAACAAGGACATAGAATGTATTAGAATTTTAAAAACTATCTATACAAGGCAAATCTACCTCACCTGGTCTAGTAGTTTCAGTATCCAACAGGTGAGAAATTTTAATTATAACCGTTAAATTTATTCCTTCCAAATTTGTTCTGACCAAATGTGACACTGAATTAAAAAAAAAAAAAAAACTTTAAAGTCACAGGCATCATACAACATAACAATTCTTAAGATCCACACCCTTATTCTTCACCACCCCTCCCCCAGCCAAAATAGAAAGTATTGATTGCCAACAGTCAAGAGGTTAGGTGAGGAAACTACAAATAAGTATCCCTGAAATGCTTATTTTGTACCCTAGTATTAGGTTACATCACATTGCTCAGATTTGAGAAAAATGGCCATTATGCTCTAGGAACCTTAATGGTTACCAATGTTCTGACCTGCAGAGCATTAAAACAACATAGGCAAAAAATGAGAGATCATAATAATCCTCAAACTTTATTATAAATATCTGATTCAAAATCAGACGATTATGTTCATATTCTATCCTTTATCATTTCCTTAGCAGTCAATCAAGATTCCTGAAACTAAACTATTAAAATTTAAGAAACTGATCATCTTCAAATACCCCATACTCTTGCTGTTTTCTTCCATTAACTTAAAAAATCACTAATGTTAAATTTCAAGAAGGACATTAAGACTGGGAATTAACGAGAGTTAAAAAAACAAATACCAATGAGCCAAGGAATGAATCTGGTAACATCATTGCATTCAGCATGCAAAGAATTCCATTACTCTTATAACTTTGTATTGCTTTTTAAAGGGAATATGGGCAAAGTCTTATTTGGTTTGGGGTAGCACATGCTAGACAAGTGTTCTACCACTAAGCTACATCCTCAGCCCAAGAAAAGTACTTTAAATGGATGCTTAACAGCACAGGAATATTAACCATTTTCAGAAATTATATATTATTAAACATTTGAATCTTCAGCCAAACTCCCAATACTCAAAAGACAAAAGACTTGAGGTCAAAAGCTGTTAATCCCTCCTTTTTTTTTTTTATTAAATATCCTCATTTTCTAAAAATAAGCAACCAGAGCTTGTCAACATTTTTTTAAGGTTGATTACTACAAAACCATTGCAAAGTTAAATGTACAAACCATAGTACATCAGAGAGAGACACAATAATAAATGTATAATCAAATGTACTATTATTGATCACAATTTATTTTAAAGTTATGAAAAGCCAGCAACAGTCAGGCTGGACAATACTTGATTGCACCCATGTTTCCATGGGACGTGGACAGCAGCACTGAGTTACACAATGAGAGCAACACTTCCTTTTCCACCTTCCTGGAAAAATGTTTGTTAGATAAGGCAAAGGATGGGCAGCTACTGAATGGCGATATGAACCATGCAAGAACAACAAAGAATAGGTAATGGGTGTGCAATAAATTGTTCAATCTTGGGCTGAGAGAGCAAGAAGAAAAACTGCAGGAGGTAATGGGTGAAAGGCATTTCAACTAAGATTTTTTTTTTTTAATTAATGCAAGAAATAACTTTTAAAGAATGTCTTCCAGCCACCTTTACACAGGGCAGCACAATCCAAGGGTAATTTTCTTTTCTGTAATTTTAGGTTGATGCACAAGTGGTCTGTTTCTGCCCCCTCTTGTTCCACATGAAGGGGGAACAGATAAAACCACCTAAATTTGTCTTCCTCTAAAGCTCTGGATTATAGAAATGATCAACAAAAAACATTTCACACCTAGGCATAAATAGCTAAACTGAAGATTACTGTTCACTTTCCTCTTCCATTATTTCAACTCTGCGAGGCCCGTAGAGTAAAACATAAGCAATATGCCAGTCTCCACCACCAGAAAGCCGCAAGATATCTTCTGGTGTTACAATGCTGACTTTATCATCATCAAATTTAATCCATTCATCTAAATAACAAGAAAAAGAAAAATAGTATCATACCCAATTCTCTTCAGCATCCCACTGCAAAAACAGTACCAACCTGATGCACAGCAGTACTCTCCCCACCTGCCAACACCTCCCCCAAGTGTCCAGGGACCACCCAGGATCAAGACTACTTGAGGGATTCCACGATGTCACAACTATTTAATGCATTATTTCCCTTTTCCATCCTCATTCTCTCAAGTGTACTTTGGAGTTTCCAGAGGCCACATGATGTGTGATAGTGCAAGAGAAGACTGAATATAGAACTAGATGAGAATCCAGTGTCTTCTATTAAGACAGCAGACAGATAAAAACTGTAAATAACATTTCTAATTCTTTGTTTTGGAAAATGTCGGTATTACAACGTTATTTCTATTAATATGAAATGGGTTTATTACTGTCAATTTTAAATTTCTCAGCTTTAATTGCTAATGTTGAAAATATGAACAGGTAAAACCTCATAAACAAAAGTCCAGGGCTTCTACAGTTACAAATGTAAAGAAGTTCTGAGACTAACAAAAAAAAAAAAAAAAAAGAGAACCCCACAGTGCTATAAAACTTATAATAAGCAAAGTAGTATTCAACAGTAGAAGAAACAATAGACTTTTTACCTTGTTTCCTTTTCACCCATGACACATAATGACCTGAAGAACTAGACCTTCCCTGGTGCGTTAGCACTGCTTGTAAGTCATAGTATCCACAATTATTGGAGCCAATATCTAAAGAGACATGAATCCAGTATTATCAAACAATGAACAGACATGTGCTTTTCTCAAGCAAGGTTATAATAACTCAACAATAACTCAAGTTCAGATTAAAGAAGTACTACTTTATTAGAACCCAGTAAATGTCACTGTCCAGAGTTGAGACTTCATTAGTGACGTTTTAAAAAGTGTATCACTCACAAGTATACACTAAAAAAGTGATTTTACTGTCATATGAAGGCAAATTATTCTTTAAGAAACCTGGCTTAAAAAAAAATTTGAACACATATGGCAAGACAAATAATTTTACCTTAAAACATAAATACACACAATTAAAATGAAATTTCACTTACCATCCGCAAATGAAAAGGGTTCATATTTAACTTCTTTATGAGGACTACTCTTCTTGTCACCCTGAAGGTGGAAAAAAAATGTTTCAGATAAAATCATTTGGAAATAAAAGCTTAAACTCTTGTTCAGTGTTCACTAAGACAAAATGATGGTTTACCTTACAAACTACTAATATAACTACAGTTAATATACAGCTGTTAAAGCCAGAGGTCCTGTTGTTAACAATATATAATCTTGTTAAAATACAATAGCAGACTCCCTGAATTTCTGACCAGTGGTTAGCCACTAATGCTAGAACATTCCAGTAAATCTGGCAGTGTCCTTAAACACTCTTCTAGGGTAGAAAAGGAAAACCCAATTCTGTAATTTCCCCCAAAATACTATCAAACCATATGGACGGGGAGGGGGTAGAGAACTACCTGAAAACAAATTCAAATTACTGCAACTTAGATGAAATCTACTAAGCCATGGCTACCTTCCACTTTAGCTCAGATTAACTTAAATATTTACTGATCAAAAATTTACCTATGCTAAAAGAGTTATGATTACTATATAAGCAAAGTGCTTTAGTGGGAACTCACTGCCTGGACTCATTTTAGTGTATGAAAGAAATTAATCTATCCAGGCCTAGTTAACAAAGTTCTTGAAAACTATAATGGAAACTATAAGACATATAATGGAACACATATAATGTGTTATATATGTGTTATATATAACACATATAATGGGAACTTATAAAATAAGTTCTTGAACTATAAGACAGAGTGGCTAGAATTCAAGGGATCCCACAACCAAAAAAATGGCAATTAGGTCACCTAATCCTTTTTTAGAGCAAATACCAACCAAGAATAACCACTAAAAAAGCTATACAAGAATACATTCAGGGCTGGGGATGTGGCTCAAGCGGTAGCGCGCTCGCCTGGCATGCGTGCAGCCCGGGTTTGATCCTCAGCACCACATACAAAGATGTTGTGTCTGCCGAAAACTAAAAAATAAATATTAAAATTCTCTCTCTCTTAAAAAAAAAAAAAAAAAAAAAAGAATACATTCAATTTAAGATCTAAGACAGCATACTGATTCACAATTTGGAATCACTGTGCATTTTCTGTGCAGATCAGAACTGAACTGCTTTTCTTTTTTTTTTTTTTTCAACTGTGTTATCTTTATTTAATAATTAATTTTTCTATTTTCTGTCACCTTGTAACCTACATTTTTTTATATTTTTTAACAAATGTACTTAAATATGATTTAATGAGGAACAAGTTCCTTGCTTCTTCTAACATGTGAAATGCACATTTTGAAATCCCCAAATCATAGACTTCTTATGTAGAAAAATCTGTTATTTTCTCTTTCCACTGTTAAATCAGACTTGACATTTCTTAATATTTATTTCAAGTTTCTAGCTCAATACTCTCCCTTATGAACTGCTTTTCTTAATGATGACACAGTTTATTATCCTTTTTTCAGTAAAGTGAAAGTTCTTTTTGTTTTAATTCTATATTTCATAAAAGTACATATTTTAGTGCTCAGAATTTATTTTAGAAATCTTCATGTAAGCTTGTCTTTTACAAAATATAAAATTAATGGTAATTTTAAAAAAATACATTCAAAAACATTGTAGATAAAACAGAATTCTAAAATTGTTTAAGTAACCCAAAAGAAAGCAAAAAAAGAAAAACAGCAAAAAACAAAATAGATTTAAATCCTAACATCAAAAGAGGCAACGGCTGCATGAAATGTAAATGATCTAACTATACCAACAGAATTTAACAGAATCTAAATCACCTGTGTTCTCTTACACAGTGGAAAACTAGAATCAACAAGACATAACAGGAAAATTTCTCAGACATTTCCTTTTGTTGTTGTAGATGGACATAATGCCTTTATTTATTTATTTTTATGTGATACTAAGATCAAACTCAGTGACTCACACATGCTAGGCAAGCGCTCTACCACTGAGCTACAGCCCCAGATCTTCTGAGACATTTCTAAATAATCCATGATCAAAGAGTAAGACTTGAGATAATTTTTGAAAATACAAAAAAGATAATTTAAATGAAATTGAAATTTGTGGGACACAGTGAAACCACTGTTAAGAGATACATAGTACAAAGTGGGTGTAATTTCTTGATGGAAAGTTTAAAATTAATAATGTAGGTTACCACCTGAAAAATGTAAAAAAATAAATAAAGCAAGGTGAAGAAAAGAAAAAAGGGCTGAAAAAAAAAATCAGATTAAAAACAAAACAGAAAATCAGCAAAACAAAGCCAGCTTTTTGAAAGTTCAATGAAATTAGCAATGCTCAATTGGGGAAAAAAATTACACAAATTAATAATATTAGGAATGAAACAGGTTAGATCACTGCACACCCTGCAGAAATTAAAAGGACAGTAAAAATACCAGGGACAGATATAGTCTCCTTGGGAGACTGAAGCAAGAGGATCTCAAGTTCAAGACCAGCCTGGCAACTTAGTGAGACTCTCCCTGTCTCAGAAATGAAAAATAAAAAAGGCTGGGATGTAGCTCAGTGGTAGAACTCCCCTGAATTCAATTCCCAATACCCAAAACTAAATAACAGGAACAACTTTGTAGACAGATTTGATAAGCTGAATGAAATTGATCAATTCTATAAAAACAAAACCTACCAAAACAAACCTAACATGAAATACATCATTTGACTAACCATAGAACTATGATTATATTAAGTCTGTGATTTATAAACTCTTGAAAAAGAAATCTGCAGACATGGACTTTAACAATTATACCATTAACACAAATTCTAGACAAACTCTTTCAAAAAATAAGTGTAAGGGGGAAATGAGATAATAAATGAAGTCAGCAAAGTTGAGGTATAAGCTCAATATACAAAAATTGATTATATTTCTATATACTAGCTAGAAACATTTGACAATGAAATTAAGAAAGCAAGCCAGGCACATTGGTATGTTTGTAATCTCAGCTACTCAGGAGACTGAGACAAGAGGATCACTTGAGCCCAGGAATTTACAAACCTGTTTGGGCAACATACTGAGACAAAGGAGGGACAGAGGGAGAGCACCTCAAAAAGAATACAATACTGGGACTAGGGCTGGAGCTATAGCTCAGTGGCAGAACACTTGCCTTGCACGCATGAGGCACTGGGTTCGATCCTCAGCACCACATAAAGATAAACAAAAGGCATGCTGTCCATCTACAACTACAAAAAAATGAAAAAATGAAAAAAAAAAGAATACTTAGGAATAAATTTAACCAAAGATATGTAAGACTTGCACAGTGAAAATTATAAAACAATTTTGAAAAAAATTAAAACCTATTATATACAAAATCATTATCAGTATCAAATACTATATTGAGATGGCAATATTCTCAAATTTCCAGAGTCCATGTGATCCCTACCTAAATTCCAACTTTTTTTTTTGAAGAAATGAAAAAAAGTAACTGTAAATACACTTGGGAATATAAGGGACTCAAAACAGCTGGAACATGCATGTAATCCCAGTGACTCAGAGGCTGAGGCAGGAGGATTGCAAATTCAAAGCCAGCCTCAGCAACTTAGCAAGTCCCTAAGCAACTTAGTGAGACCCTGACTTCAAATAAAATATAAAATGGGATGAGGATGTGGCTCAGTGGGATTAAGCGCCCCTAGGTTCAATCCTAGGTACCAAAAAAAAAAAAAAAAAAAAAAACCAAAAAAAACACCTCAAACAATTTTCAAAAATTACAACTTTTGAAGGGTCACACTTCACAATGATGACAGACAGACCAATTAAATAAACTCAGAGTCCAGAAAAAAAACATACATCTATGGTCAACCAATTCTCTATAAAGGTGCTAAGATCATTCATTGGACACAGACTAATAAATAGGAGCTGAGATGATAAGACACGTAAAAGATTGAATCTGAACATCACACCATGTAAGTCAATCCAGACTGGACCAATACCTAATGGAAGAACTCAAAACTAAAAAACACTTTCAAGAAATCATGGGTATAAACTTTCATGGTTGAATAACATATTGGTTTCTTAGATGAGATACCAAAGACACAAGCAACTATAAAAAAAATGAATCTAATTTCATCAAAATTTTTGAAAACTTTTCCTGCAAAAGATCTCTGTTAAGGGGGTGAAAAGCAAACTATAGACTTGGACAAAATATTTGCAAAATAGTATCTAGAATAAAAAAGAAGTCTCAAAACCCAAGAGTAAAAATATAACCAACCCAATTAGAAAACAAAGAGTCATTTCAGCAAATAAACACATAAAGATATGTTCAATATCACTAGCCACTAGAGAAAGACAAAGATAACAAGACATCACCACAAAGCTATCCATTCACTAGAATAAAAACAGTGACACCACCAAACAATGTATTTGTGGAAAACTGGGTGAGTCTCACTTACTGTTAATGGGAATATAAAATGGGATAGCTGCTCTACAAAACATCTGGCAATTTCTTGAAAAACTACATGTGTAACTACCTTGCACTCCTGGGCATTCATTCCAGGAAAATAAAAGACTATGTTCACACTAAAATCTATACATGAACGTTTGTACCAGCTTTCTTCATAACAGACAAAAAATGGAAACAACCCCAACATCCTTTAATAGGTAAGTAGTTAAGCAAAACTATGCGTTTATCACATAGAGAAATATTACTTGGGAGTAAAAAAAAAAAAAAAAAAAGAACTACTGATATACACAACAACCTGTATCAATCTCCAGAGACTTGTACTGAGAAAAATCAATCCCAAAGATTACATTTAAAAATGTAAGTTTTGATTTCATTCATACCTTTTTTTTTGGGGGGGGGTACTTGGGATTGAACCCAGGAGCACTTTACCACCGAGCTTTAACTTTTTTTTTTTTTTTTTAAGACAAGGTCTCACTGTTTCTGAGGATGGCCTCAAAATTATTTTAGTATTTCCAGGCAAACCAGTACCATCTACTAAAAATTGACTTAGTTATCAATGCATATCTATGAACCAATATTGTACACCTCTCATTCCATCTAAAAAAGAAAAAAGGATATTTCTTTATCTTATATGGAAAATAATTATACCAAAAATCCTAAGTAAAATTTTATGTGAAGTGCCATGAGGAGATAAATATAAAAGGAAAGAAGCTGCACATTAAAAAAGAAAAAGCTTATTCTACCCCAAAGGACTGGTTTACCAGAGGTAGGGTTCCTGATTCTTATGCCAGTGTTAATTTTACACTTAAAATTTCAAAGGAGGGCTGGGGTGCATGAACAAAATACAGATATTGTGTCCATGTATAACTAAAATATATCTTTAAAAAACTTCAAAGCTTACACCACTACATGTAGAATGTATGTATGTCATAAGTGAAAAGTAGGTTCATTCCATTTTTATTATAGGTTAATAGTCCAAATAATAACTGCTGAGCAATGATTTAAGATTAAAATAATAACATTAGAAATTCAGCAATAGGGCTGGGGATGTGGCTCAAGCGGTGGCGCGCTCGCCTCGCATGCATGCAGCCCGGGTTTGATCCTCAGCACCACATACAAACAAATGTTATGTCTAACGAAAACTAAAAAATAAATATTAAAATTCTCTCTCTCTTTAAAAAAAAAAAGAAAAAAAGAAATTCAGCAATAAGAACCTACTGTATTTGGCTGTTGATTCACTTTTTTATCTTCTAGATCCTTGAATTTTGATCGAAAAGAGATCATTTTCTCTTGAAGTTCTGGTGTACACAGTTCATATACATCCAACATAAGAGGAAATTTAACATCCTATATACCAACAACAACAAAAAAATTAAAGACATAAATAGACTGAAAATAGATATTTAAAAGAACAAAGTCATATTTTCATAATTTCAATAAAGCTACAAATGAAATCTGTAAAAATCATACAGAAGACTCTGCAGTTGAATAAGACCTCTTAGAACTTATTCTCCATCGGTTTCTAACTTTAAGGTAAAACTTTCCAAGTATGTCTTATCATGACATGCTAGCTTATGAAACTGACCACAGAAGAGGTACCAAAATTCATGACAGAAGCAGCAATTCACAATTAATTATTGGACTAGTTGCTGGGAAAATAATGGATCCCCAACACTGGAGTTAAATCACAGCTTTCTTTAAATTTGAAAACAATTTTACCTAGAAACAATACTAATATAGTTAGTTCAATGACTTACATTAAAATATATTGACAAACACTAGATACTTAACCTATATTTAACCTCTTATAACACTAAGGCTAAGAAGAAAATGTACTGTTTTCAGCTCAAAAGGCTAGAATTATATACCTCTCAGAAGGAGCAAGAATTCTGTGGACTTGTAGCAGAGCCACAGTTCAACACAGTGAAATCATAAGGCTGGTTCCAGAAGCATGAGATTATCATTTAAATATTCTTTCATCACTAGTGATTTGGCTTTCCTTTTACCTGAAGGAAAGGAACTACCTAAAACATAATGCAATGTGCTTTACGGTCTCCTTTCTCACTCTCATCCCAAACCTACTGAACTGGTACCTAAGAAGTGAAAGAAAGATCTGATCTAAGGCAGTGTTTCTGGGGAATACAGGAGATCCATCAGAATTATCTGTAACTCTTTTGACAAATGTAAGACCCCAGGTTTCACCCAAAATTTAAATTAGATGTTTGGGGCTAGAGGGAGAAGCCAGTTATTTATATAATTAAGAATAAAAAAGATAGGGACTGAGCACCATGGCACATGCCTGTAATTCCAGCAGTTTGGGAGGCTGAGGCCAGAGGATTGCAAATTTAAAGCCAGCCTCACCAACTTAGTAAGACCCTGTCTCAAAAGAAAAAGAAAAAGGGCTGGGGATATGGCTCAATGGTTGAGAGCCCCTGGGACCAAAAAAAAAAAATTGAAAAATAAATTAAAAAAATAAAAAGGACAAAAGAAAATTCCAATACACATTCTTTGTTTAGAACCACATATCTAATGTTAATAACTCCCCTAAATGTTTCAAAAAAAAGCTCACCTATCCCTAAAGAAAAAAATAAGCCTATTATAAGTTAGGAGTTACCTTCAAAGAATTTTGTTTTATAGCAAAACTAAAGTTCATTACTAACCTTAAGAACTTTGGCATTCACAGATTCCTTCTCTTTATAAAAAAATCGAACCATCTGAATAGTTAAGTAAGCAGGTAGCCGGCTGATCTTGGACTGAGGAGAAACAAATAGAAAGAAATCCTTTATATAGATGAATACCATACAAGTTTTTAACTCTTTGGTGGTAGAAACAAAGATTGGGTAAAACTGGAAACCTCTCAATAAAATGAAATTCAATTTCAAAAGTAAATGTACAACTTACAGATTTGATATATAAAGCATTTCTTTGCAATGTCGGAGACTGTTTGGTGATTTCTTCCTGAAGTCGCTATAAAAAAAAAAAGTTTTAAAATGACTGCTATCTGCAACATAGAATCACATCTTTAATTCTTTTTTAAAAAAACAGCACTAGGGGGCTGGAGTTGTGGTTCCATGGTAGAGTGCTTGCTTAGCATGTATGAGGCACTGGGTTCAATCCTCAGCACCGCATACAAATAAATAAATAAATAAATAGATATGTTGTGTCTGTCTGCAACTAAAAAAATTTTTAAATAAATTTTAAATAGCATTACTTAATAGACAACATAGTATGTCAATGAACTTACATCATTAGAAAAAACAATGTGATAGAAGACATTTAGATATTGATTTTTAAGGCTTCAAATAATTTATACTGTTGAGAACTCCTGAATATAAAATGTTTCAAGTTTTTAACTTATGATCCAAATATTGCTCAGGTTCAGAGAATATTCTATTTTATATAACAAAGTCTTCTGTCATTCCTCTATTATTATCAAAAAACTCAGAAAAATTAAGAGACTGTAGGAATCCTTGTTCTTTATGCTTTATATACAAAACCTTCCAACATCAATCGTGTATTTTTGAATCTGAGAATAACAGAAATCTCTGTTAATCTAAAGGATGGGAGGAAGTTTTAGCCACTATGCATATTTCAACTAGCACAATCACCTTTCCACTTTTGACAGCCTATGTAACTTTAGGCAAGATATTAATCCCCTCTGGGTTATCACTTGTTAAAGGTAATAATGAAACACATTATAGTGCTGCTGTTAGAAGTACACAAGTTAGTACACACAGAAAACCTGGGAAACTTCTTGGCATATACTATATATTCAATAAGGATCAGCTATTACTTCCAATGTTACAAATTAAAAACTTAGCCTCAATAATTTGTAGTAAAATTTAGCACTACTAAACAAAAAAAGAAATCTGAATTAAAAACAACTTATACTTGGGGCTGGGATTGTGGCTCAGTGGTAGAGCGCTCACCTAGCATGCACGGGGCCCTGGGTTTGATCCTCAGCACCACATAAAAATAAATGAATGGAATAAAAGTATTGTGTCCAACTATAACTAAAAAAATAAATAAATAAATATTTTTAAAACACAACTTATACTTAAGCATGATATATGTATTAATTTTTTTAAGTTTGATTTTTAAAAATTATTAATCACTTTAATGACAAAAACCTTAAAAATTATAAAGAAAATAAATACACCTCAAAAATACATGTTTTTCTCAAGATAGCATTGCTGGTGTGATGACAATCATCAATCAAGCTAACCTATTATCACCAACCAGCTTTCCTATAGAACTTCCAAGTGTATTTTTCTATAATTTTACAAAATTATGAAGAAAATGTCATCTTGAAGAGTCCTTGTCCAAGCATTACATTCTGAACTCTCAAATTAACACTTGTATTTCATTATTTGATGCCCTGAACTTGTACGTCATGATTTAAGCAACCATGTAAATAGTGCTTTTGCCTGTGAAATGAAATCCTGAGGTTTAATTTCTGAATTTACCGTTGATTCTTGTTATTCACAGTGCACATGTTTACACTGTCACCATAAGCACTAAATTAGTAAATACCAAACCACTGTCCCTAGCAAAAACACAGTTAGGTTCCTGCAAGCCTCTGGTCACAATCTTTCCATCAATCAATATGTGCAACTGTGTTTAAAGACACCTTATTTCATATATAGTGTCAATTCAATTAACACTGAACTTATAGCCAACAGCAACATAACTCACATGCAAATGATACTCCTCTAATATATGTATTTTCTCAAGTACATCACAGCCATCCCACATTTAAGACACAGACAGCACTTCAGCACTATGCTTAGAGATAATATTAGACATTGAAATCACCAAAAAAAAAATTATTATTAAAAAAAGGATACTTGCATATAGTATGCAAATTGAAAAATGAAGGCAGAATATTTCCTTGTTAGACCTTGGCTGGGACTGAATGTGTCAGGCAACTGAAAATTTGCTGTTCTACAGTGTGTCTGCAAGTCATTATTAAGCACAATGAGTATTGTCTTTGGGGTTACAAATAAATTTTAGCAAGCAGGCATTTTTACAAACACAGAATCTGTAAAGAATGAGAATTGACCTTGACTGTTCTTACCAATTTAAGTCCTGTAAAAAGATACTTGACTTCCTGATTGATAAAACAGCTAAGCTGAAGTTGATTTTCCTTTCCTTTGGTAACTTCTTCTTCGTCAGATTCTGTACATTTCATGCTTTGCAAAATAAGATAAGGAATGCCAAAAGGTATTCGATTTGTTTTAATCTTAAATATACCAAATTATCCTAATGCTATTAAATTAATAATCATTCACTGATTAAATTAATAATCATTTAAAACGTATTGGTCTCCCAATAGTTTCACTTCACTATACTTCAAATGTTCATAAGCCTACCAATGACTTTATAAGTAATGATTATATTAAATATAAATTGCAATAAAATATCAACAAATATGTTGGTATTTACTATGATCTTAAAATGGCCTTAATAACCCAAAAATAAACAAATCTTTTTCTAAGTTTCTACCCATAAACTAGAAAATAATCCTTTCTTGAATCATGTTTATAAACTGGATCCATCTTGTTTATATAATGTAATTAAAACACTTCATTTCATACATTAAAAATTCTCTATGAGATAATGATGGAGATTCTAGAAAAGATGTTCAAGATGTTCTTAGGGAAAAGTCCTATTATTACAGTAAATACATTTATCTAAACTTCAAGATCACTCCAATATATTATATTTTTATAAATTTCTTATTTCCATTGTATTTTTTAGGCATGAAAACCTCTGAAGGGGGTTGTAGCTGTAGCTCAGTGGTAGAGTACTTGCCTATCATGTGTGAGGCACTGGGTTTGATCCTCAACACCACATAAAAATAAATATATATTTTTAAAAATTTATTTAAAAAGGAAAAAAAGGAAAACCTCTGAAGAATTTTTTTCTATGCTATCCACCATACCAATCAACCAACTATGCTATTTATGTCAATTTACCTTTTTATTTAAAAAAAAATGTAGCAAAATATATTTTCATAAGATAGTAACTATGGACTATTAATAAATTAAAATACTTCAAAGAAAATATGGAACACTTCACAAATTTGCATGTTATTCTTGTGTAGGGGCTATGCTAATTGTCTCTGTATGGTTCCAATTTTAGTTTATATGCTACCTAAGCAAACATACCAATTTACTTTTTCTTAAGTTAGTCTATACAAATCTTGGCTCATAAGGATACGTTGTTTCAAATTCAACACCGAAGAACTGATCAATTAAACTTTTCTTTTTAGAAGGTGTCACTGCTGATGCAGATGAAGAATCTGACTGCAAAATTAAAATGAAGTTAAAATTCCAGTTTTACTTTGTATAGATATTAATGTATTTTTCCTTTTACACAAGCCAGTTTAGCAATACATATTTAAGATTTTTTTAAATGTAGTCCCATTCTGTAAACTCCTTCTGATTCACAAATATTACCAAAAGATTACAGATACAATATTAAAATTAAGATTACAATATAATACAATATTAACATTACATCAATATTAATAAATTAAGCTTAATAAAAATGCACTAAATTAAATATCAGATTCAATCTATCAACCACAGGCTGACCATCTAAAAGCATTCAAATGCAGATCTACTTATTAAGATAAATTTATTTTTAATCTTTTTGGGGGATAAAATAAAAACCAACAGTGAATGATATAATGAAAGTCTATAATCACAAATGCATTAAGTACCTCTTTAACAGAATCATCATCTATGGCTTCCAATTTTTGTTGTAATACTCGCATCATTTGTATCCAACATTCATTAGCATCCTGTAATTTTTAAAGAAACAACACAGTAATCCAAGCAGTGACAGTGGTTGGTCAATAAATCCTTCCAAAATAATTACTATTTCCAAAGGGGAAAAGTGATTTCTTAAAAATTTGATAAGATCTTAAAAAAAAAAAGTTCCAGAATGGTTATTCATTCAGCAAATATTTATTGAGCTCCTCCTTGCTCGTACTTGTGCTACTATTATAGATATCTAAAATACATGA